TCTCATTTCAAGACAGAGACTTGCTCTATCGCCCAGTCTGGAGTGCACCACCACACCCAGCATTTCATTATTCATTTTATTATTTCATTTTTTCATTTCATCTATTTCATTTTTCAATTTCATGATGTAGACTTGCTCTGTCACCCAGGCTGGAGTGCACCCAGCACTTCATTATTCATTTCATATTTCATTTCTCATTTCATGACAGAGACTTGCTCTATCACCCAGGCTGGAGTGTGCCACCCACATTTCATTATTAATTTCATTATTTCATTTCATCATGTCATTTCGAGATGGAGACTCGTTCTATCGCCCAGGCTGGAGTGCAGTGGCGTGATCTCTGCTCACCGCACCCTCTACCTCCTGGGTACAAGCAATTCTCCTCTCTCAGCCTCCCAAGTAGCTGGGATTACAGGCACCTGCCATCATGCCAGGCTAATTTTTGTATTTTAGTAGAGACGGGGTTTCACCATGTTGGCCATGCTGATCTTAAACTCCTGACATCAGGTGATCCGCCCGCCTTGGCCTCCCAAAGTGCTAGGATTATAAGCATGAGCCACCGCACCCAGCATTTCATATTTCGTTTCATATTTACTTCATCATGTCATTTCTTTCGTTTCATTTCAAAATGGAGTCTATCACCCAGGCTGGAGTGCAGCACCACACCCAGCATTTCATTATTCATTTCATTTCATTATTTCTTCATTTCATTTCACCCGGCATTTCATTATTCATTATTTCATTTCTTCATTTCATTTCGAGACAGAGACTCACTCTTATCGCCCAGGCTGGAGTGCACCACTGCACCCAGCATTTCATTATTTCATTTCATCTATTTCAGTTTTTCATTTCATTTCATTATTCATTTCACCATTTCGTTTTTCATTTCATTTCAAGACGGAGACTTGCTCTATTGCCCAGGCTAGAGTGTGCCACTGTACCCAGCATTTCATTATTCATTTCATTATTTCATCATTTCATTCGATCATTTTTCATTTCATTTCATTTCATTTTGAGATGAAGACTCACTCTATCAGCCAAGCTGGAGTGCACCACCACACCCGGCATTTCATTATTCATTTCATTTCATTATTTCATCTCATCATGTCATGTCATGTCATGTCATATCATTTCATTTCGAGACAGAGACTCACTGTATTACCCAGGATGGAGTGCACCACCACACTAGGCATTTCATTATTCATTTCATTTCACCCGGCATTTCGTATTTCATTTCAAGACGGAGACTTGCTCTATTGCCCAGACTGGAGTGTGCCACCACACCAGCACTTCATTTTGTTATTTCATTTTTTCATTTCAGTATTCATTTCATTTATTTCATTTCTTCATTTCATTTCAAGATGGAGACTCGCTCTGTCACCCAGGCTGGAGTGTGCCACCAAACCTGGCATATAATTATTCGTTTCATCATTTCATTTCATCACTTCATTTCATGACAGAGACTTGCTGTATCGGCCAGGCTGGAGTGCACCACCCGCATTCAATTATTCATTTCATTATTTCATTTCATGATGTCATGTCATTTCATTTTGAGACGGAGACTCGTTCTATCACCCAGGCTGGAGTGCAGTGGCGCGATGTCTGCTCACCGCAACCTCTGCCTCCTGGGTTCAAGCAATTCTCTTCTCGCGGTCTCCCAACTAGCTGGGATTACAGGCACCCACTATCATGCCCAGCTAATTTTTGTATTTTAGCAGAGACAGGGTTTCACCATGTTTGCCAGGATGGTCTTAAACTCCTGACCTCAGATGATCCACCTACCTTGCCTCCCAAGTGTTGGGATTACAGGTGTGAGCCACTGTGCCGGGCCCCAAAAGGCTAATTTAAAGGTAGACCTCTGATATTCATGTGATTTTAATTCAGGTCTAATGCTTCTTTAATGAATTACATAAATTTTCTCCAAAAATGTGAAATGTTATTAGATTCCCTGTGACATATGAGAATCTATTCAATAATAACCAGTGCTCTATTGGAAAAGAAACAGCTGTAGTTTTGCCATCATCAATAAGCTTAGGAATTTTAGAGCAGCCTTGTCACATATTCTCAGAAATAAGTCCTCAGAAACCAAAGGATACGGGTGATGCCTTCCTCTCCAAAACACCCTGAACTGTTAATCCTATGTCTTCCTTCCATAAGAAAGTCAGCTTAAAAACAAAGTCATTTAAGGTAAAAGGATATACAAATTAGGCAACTCTCATTAAGGTTATTGTTAAGAGGTTCTATTTATCAATGTCTAAATTGAATACCAGCCCTTGAGAATTATACTTCACATACCAAAAAGAACCTCTGGATGCTTTCTACATTTCTGTTACCGGCATCAACAATTTTCCAGGAAGTAAAAATTCATGTAAAATATATAATTGGCAAAGTGCTAACTGCCATAATATATAAACTCTTCCAACAAATCAATCAAACCAACAATATGATAAAAAATAGAGAAAGGGTATGCCACCAACCACTAAACAAAAAAAAAGGTGCTTATTCTCATAAGCAACCAGGAAAAAGCAAAGTAAAACATTAAAACAGTTCACTACCTAGCTTAAAAAAAAAGTGATGGTAGGCCAGGCGCGATGGCTCACGCCTGTAATCCCAGCACTTTGGGAGGCTGAGGCTGGCAGATCACCTGAGGTCGGGAGTTCGAGATGAGTCTGACCAACATGGAGAAATCCTGTCTCTACTAAAAACACAAAAAATTAGCTGGGCATGGTGGTGCATGCCTGTAATTCCAGCTACTCGGGAGGCAGAGGTCGTGGTGAGCCTAGATCGTGCCACTGCATTCCAGCCCGGCAACAAGAGTGAAACTCTGTCTCAAAAAAAAAAAAAAAAGTGATGGTAGATGACAACACTGGCAAAGGTTAGCAAGTACTGGAAGGGTCATTTGGTAGTAGTCATTCATGTTTTAAGCATGCGGATAATTTGCTCAAGTAACTTATTTTTAGCAATTTATCCTACAATTAAAATGTATGTGCAAAACTGTATGTACTACAGTGTTTAAGAGAAGGCCTCAAAGAAAAGGTGGTATTTTGTACAATTTGTACAAAAAAAGCATATTTTGTACAGTTCTTAAAGGAGTTAACACAGCTTTCCTCTTGGAAGTCAACAGACTATATGTAAGATTGAAAAGTCAAGAAAAATCAAGACAATAATATTATTTAGAAACATGAAAATAAAAAATAATGAATTAAAGCAGCCTGGGCATGGTGGCTCACACCTGCAATCCCAGCACTTTGGGAGGCTGAGGCAGGATGATTGCTTGAGCCCAGGAATTCAAGACCAGCCGGGGCAACATAGTGAGACTCCATCTCTGGAAAAAAAAAATTAGCTAGGTATGGAGGTGTGTGCCTGTAGTCCCAGCTACTCAGGAGGCTGAGATGGGAGGATCACCTGAGCCCAGGAGGTCAAGGCTACAGTGACCCTTGATTGTGCCACTGCACTCCAGCCTGGATGATAGAGTGACTCTGTTTTAAAAAAATATTAAAATAAGCTGAGCATGGTGGCTCACACCTGTAATCCTAGCACTTGGGAGGGAGGAGGGTGGGTCACCTGAGGTCAGGAGTTTGAGACCAGTCTGACCAGTATGGTGAAACCCTGTCTCTACTAAAAATACAAAAATCAGCCAGATGTGGTGGCGTACGCCTGTAGTCCCAGCTACTCAGGAGGCTGAGATGGGAGAATTGCTTGATTCTGGGAGGTGGAGGTTGTAGTGAGCTGAGATCACGCTGCTGCACTCCAGCCTGGGTGACAGTGAGACTCCATATCAAAAGAAAAAAAAAAAAAATTAAAAGTTGCCTTTGGAAAAAGGGAATTAAGGTGAGACGTACAGAACACTGTCGCACATCATTAAAATCTTTCAGATGTTAAAAAGATAAAAACCTTGACTTAAAAAATCATGTATGTCGATTATTTTGGTAAAAATAAAAATTAAGTAGCCAAAGATGTATCAACATAATAAAAAAGCTAAATTAGGCATTACTTGAACGTATGCTTCTAAACTAGTAAAAATTTATCACTGAAGAGAATTATCTGACCCTTGACAGCAACATGTTGATCTCCCAGTAGAGTAAGATGATCATACGAATAAGATGCTCTAAATTGACTTACAGGGAAGTCATTCCTGGGCTTTGACCTTGGGTGTCTTGTGATAATTTAATATGCTGATGTCACACAGGTCAAACTATTGTTTAAAACAAAACCAATTCTGAATATTCTATTGCTTAGTCTGTCCAAGATTAAAAAAACTAAAGTAAAATGAATGAAAAATACAGAAAAGAATCTTATCTTCTTAATGTCAAAAAAACACCACAAACCATATGATCCAAGAATCCCACTTCTCGTATATATCCAAAAAAAGAAAAGGATCTTGAAGAGGTATTTGTACATCCACATTCGTAGCAGCATTATTCCCAAGAGCCAAAAGGTAGAAGCAACCCAAATATCCCTTGATAAAAGAATGCACATGCAAAACGTGGCATACATACACAGAATGAATATTATTTAGCTTTAAAAAGGAAGGGAATTCTGGCACATGCAACGACATGGATGAACCTTGAGGATATTATGCTACATAAAATAAGCCAATCACAAAAGGACAAATATTGTATGATTCTACTTATATGAGGTGCCTAAAACAGCCAATTCAGAGATAGAAAGTGTAACATTATCAGGAGCTAAGGAGAGTGGCAAATTGGAAGGAGGCTTAATAGATATAGAGTATCAGTTTTGCAAGATGAAAAAGTTCCTGAGATTGGCTATACAATCATGCGACTGTAACACTAACGTACTGTACGCTTAAAAAATGGTTAAGAAGGTAAATCTTATGTTTATTTTGCCACAATTAAAAACCAAACCAAACCAAAATAATCACAAAGTTAGAACACTAGATTTTACTGCAACAGAGTGTGGTTTCCTTGAAAACCATGAATTTTAAAAAGCGCACTTCAAGTGTATTAAGAGATGGCTCTCCATTCAACAGTACTCACCTGTACATTTATACAACATGCCTGTCATAGTTCCAGCGGCTACTGTGTTAAGGTCATCTTCTGCACCTCGTGTTTTCTCAATGATGACACCAAATGCACTATAGAGCAAAGCTAAAGAGGAAATGGAAGTGCTCAGCAACAAAATAGTGATAAAGTGTGATATTATGATATACATATATTGGTTTTTCATCCATGGTTCCTAGCTCATAACTCCCATAGCCCTTCCTAAGTGACTAAAACAATCACTTATTAAAGTATTTGTCCTTGGTTCTGGAAGCAGCTTTGGAACAGCTTCAGAGGGACAAAGGTGAAGGTCCTTTTTGTATTACTGGGGCACTTCAGGCCTCAGAAGCAGCCTCAGAAAACAGAATATCTCTCTGACCTTCTTCTGTCCTCCTTTCATCTGCTCCCTTTTCTCCTCACAGCAGGACTCTAATCTTTCCCCACGTTTCTGTCTTGGAACTGGTCATAAAGAAATTCTATGACCTACCTTGTCTGATTGCAGGCCATAGGATCCCCATTTCAGAAGAGATCGTACCCCATACCCAGGAAGAAGAAATGCTGCACAGAAAGGCCAAGGAGAATCTGGGCAGACAGGCCTTGCTGGGTTTCTGCGTCCAGTCTGTTAGTAGTAGAGCATGCCCTTTTTGTCCAGTCACAGTTCTACAAGGTTGTCCATGCTTCAGTCATGCCTATTCAATCAATTTTCCACGAGGCCCAAGTGGATGGGGTCGGAGGACTTTCTAGACAGCTGAACTTGTGGGCCTTGCAGGAAAGCGAGAAAGAACTCACCCACATGTCAGGAGGCTAGTGCACCCCAACTTCAGTGAAATGAAAGCTCCTGCACTCAGGGCCCATCCAGGCCTCACCTTATGCATTCCTTGACTGGGCTGTTTATCTGTATCCTTTAAAAATATCCAGCCAGGTGTGGTGGCTCACAGAGTTTCTGTAATCCCAGCACTTTGGGAGGCCAAGGTGGGAAGATCACATGAGCCCAGGAGTCTGAGACCAGCCTGGGCAACAACATAGGGATACCCCCTTCTCTAAAAAATGTTTTTAAAAAATCACCTAGCATGGTGGTGCATGTTGCCTGTAGTCCCAGCTCCTTGAAAGGCTGAGGTGGGAGACTTGCTTAAGCCCAGAAAGTCTAGCTTGCAGTGAGCTCCACTGCACTCTAGCACGGGTGACAAAGCAAGACCCTCTCTCCAAAAAAAAAAAAAAAATCTTTATAATAACTAGGCAAATGTTAAGTATGTGTTCCTTTGAGTTCTGTGAGCCAATCTGATAAATTAATCGAACCCAAAGAGGGGGTTGTGGGAACCCTGACAAAGCTGGTTGGTCAGAAGCACAGGTAAAATAACCTGGGGCTTGCAATCAGTATCAGAAGTATCCAAAGTGGGGCTCATTTTTGTGCGACAGAGTGCTCAACCTGCTGATCTAATGCTATCTCCAGGCAGAACTGAAATGGGAGGACACCCAGCCAGTGTCCACTGCAAAAGACAATACTTGGTATGTGGGGAAATATTCCCACATAACTGGTCACAGAAATATCCTATGTTGACTGTTATAGTGTGAGAGCAGAGAAAAAACTTTTTTTTTCAACACAAAAGTCAGTATGGCAATTATATTTAGATAAATTTATCCAAAGATATACATGGAATGATCACTAGAACAGTTTCTAACAGCAAACACCTGGCAACAAATAAAATGCCCATCAAGAGCATTTGTACCATCTGAACTGATTCAGAGAGTGACTTTTCATATAATGGTATACAGTAACTTAAAAACCAGAAGAATCATTTTCACTAACAAGTAAAGTAAGGACATGTGCACATGGTACATGACTAACTGGCTATGCAGAGAAGCACTGGAAGAACTCAGAGGAAACATCAATAGTAGCTATTTCTAGAAAGTACCACTAGGAAGTCTCAGGAAGTATATTTAAAATTTTCATTTATATGCTACCCATAATTTCTGTACTTTGGATTAAAGACACACACACATATATCTAGTATAAGAAAAAATAGATTTAAAAAAAATGTGAGGTTTGATCCTCACATATTATAACACTAGCACCATTTCATTTTAAAGTATCTTCCCCCAAGCCATCCTTCTATGCTCTTACAGATTCCTATCTGGAATGAGTATGTTAAACTTTTAAGCTCTTTCTCAAAATTATAGCTACATTTGACCCTTGGAACAATACACCGTGCTCAGCCTTACAACTCCTCTACTGCAGTATTTTTATACGTCTATAAAAGCTCATCTTCCTCTTCAGCTTACTTAACTGAAACTGATCATGAGCAGAACATTGTTATTGTTCATACCACAATGGGTATGCAGACGGTGACCAGTCATCCTAGTTTGTCCAGGACTGCGGGGCGGGCGGGGGGGTTGGGGGGGAAACGGGGGTTATTGGAACATGGTTTCTTGGACTTTTCCCTGAAAGTCCTAGGCAGACAAGGATGGCTGGGCTGACTAGGTAAACAAGTAATCAAAAGAAACAGAGGGGGGTGACTCAGTAGTAGGGTGGGAGGAATGCAGACATCAGAAACATATGAATGCAGCCATCTCTTAGGATCCAAAATGTGGAAACCGGCTTTATAGTGTGAAGATATACTGCTTCCAAATTCTGTGACAAGACAGGACCTTACTCTGCCATAATAAACATTTTTTCTATGGTATCAATGAATTTTCTATGTCTTCCCCTCCTTAATCTGCCACAATTTAAATTGAGATTTCCAACTAAGTTCATAAAGTATGAAAATTGTGGATGTCAGGACCTAAGCCATAAGAGATAGATTCCAAGTGATCAATCATTCATAAACAATACGGTATGAAAGCATTAGGCTCTAATTAAGCACTACCAAATTACCTTTTGCCTAGAACTGCAAACGTTTTCATTATCTACAAAGAACCTATTCCAATTCTGGCAATTAGGTGCCTGGAATCTACTCAGGTAAACAGACTAATGAACAGGCTATTAAGAAAAGACAGCAAGAGGGCCGGATTAATGTATCTTGTATCACTACAGGACCTTGAACCTTGCCTAATATACCAAGCTCTTTACTTTGGACCTAAATTATCTGGATTTCATTTAAACATGATTGGGTGCTGTGCTTGGAGAGTGTGCAGTGTTCAAAAGATTTTAAAAATTAAGAAATGGTATTCAGAATGGTATCAGCACCTGAGATTATTTCATAAGTTAGTTCATGGTCTTTCCCTAAGTAGTATCTACATTATGCAATGGAATGGATTTAAACATAATTGTCTCATATCCTAGGACCAGAATATCGGTTGATTAAATTGTTCATATTTGTACATTCTTTCTTTAACAATTTATCAAACGAGATCTCTACTTACCCAGAGAACCTAGAGTATTAGCCCAAAGTGCCCCTTGCCTGGTCACCATATTCAAAATCCTACCAGGGCAGAAAGAGAAAGAATCTGTATTTAGAATCATTATTTCTCTAGTAACCTTTAAAAACAATAATAATAGCTATTTAACATGTCTAGACCCAAGGCTCAAAATTTTTTAAATTCTAAAATATATCTTAATATCTCAGATTTCAATAAGGATAGTTTTTACATAAGTGAAAATTAGGTTAAAACTTTCAAGACTTTGGGCAATAACTGAGGAAAACTCTTATTATTAAATGTATAATATAATGAATACACATTAAATATATACAAGGCTTTGAATGACAGCCTGGAATGTATTTTACAGAGGTTTACAGAAACTAATCCACATAAAAAATGCCACTGTTAACTATGACGAGCTAGCTTCTAAAAGATTCTTTTTGGAAGGGGAACATATGCTTAGAATGTTAAAGAGAATCAAAGTAAAGAATATCAAAGTACAGAATATAAAGTAGAATTAAAGAGAAGGAATCAGCCATCTAACTGGGATACACGGGGAAAGCACCCTGTGTCTGCTCCCAGACTAGAACCAAGCAGCCAAGGTGAATGCTCAGCACACACTCAAGGAAGCACAGTCCTGCCTTGCACCAGTGCCAGACACCACCAGAACAGTGATGGAGGCAACCAGATGAAGAGAAGACATTCCTCTCCCAGCAGTGTAACACCATTCCAGGAATGGTTCTGTCCAGATGGCTGACTACTGCTGGAAATTATGGAAATACAGTAACAAAGAGTGAGGGAACTCATTCAGTTTAATTATTAAACAACTCATTTAATTAATATTCTACAGAAACAAAAATTTGTATTGCTTCTGAAAGGTTGTTTTAAAAAATCAGTCAAGTTTACAAACAGAAGTACATTCTAATTATGTTACATATTTACTAATGTATTTTAAGTTCAGCCATTATTTTTTCATTTTTAACAAGCATTTTAATGACTCGTTTTAAGAAAGGAAGCAAGTTGTCTTTTCTAGATCTACTTCCAAATTTTTATTTAATATGATATTGGGATTTTTGTCTCAAAACAAGATGGGAGAGGAGAAGGAGATGGGATAGAACTGGCCACGGTTGAGGATGGGTTATGGTCCATGTGTTCACTATGCTACGTCTTTTGTCTACTTTTATATATTCAAAATTCCCCATAATACAAAAAGTTAAAAATATTATTGAAGCAAAGGACAAGTAATAAAAATACTGAAGGATCTAGGCTGGCAAAGCATGGACAGAGATCCACACAGTTAACAGGAATATAAAAAACAGGGCTAGGCGCAGTGGCTCACGTCTATAATCCCAGTACTTTGGAAGGCTGAGGCAGGAGGATCACCTGAGTACAGGAGTTTGAGAACAGCCTGAGCAACACAGTGAGACCACGTCACTACAAAAAATTAAAAAATTAACTGGGTACAGTGGCATGTGCCTGTAGTCAAAGTTACTTGGGAGGCTGAGGTGGGAGGATCACTTGAGCCCAGGAGGTCAAGGCTACAGTGAGCTGTGACGGCGGCACCGCACGCCAGCCTGGGCAACACAGCAAGGCTGTGTCTCTCAAAAAATCCCATAATGTAACAGGCGTTCCAGTTTCCCATGGTCTAGTTCTAGCACATCTGGTGCCATCTGCTGGCTGAACAATATGAAAGGAAGATGGGAGTTTAAAGCGTCCTAAGACAAAAACAGTAGCCATCGAAGAATACATACTTATGAAGCATATATGAAGCATAAAAATGGGCAAAACTAAACATATTGTTTAAGGAATATCAGGAGGGACTGGCCATGTTTACTTCTTAAGAAGGGTGAAAACATACTTTCCAATCCTTTTAGCTGCACTTTCCCTTTTCTGCAACTTCAAGTTCTAACAGAAAACTGTGTCTTATCCTTTTGGAATTAACTCTAATTCTAGAAGTTTTATTTAAAATTTATCTGGCTCGTCATTTCGGAAACGTAAAGTCAAGACAGTAAGAAGTTCAAGTCAAATGATGGCAGCTTGAGCCATCACTCTCATGAGCTGTTTATGTCTTCATTACCATTTCCTATGGATCTGCATGCCCCCAAACAATGCAAAATTCCCATCGGCAATTCAACAATTTGAAAAGCATGTCACACAGGGTTGGAGAATGTGACAGGTGCAGCTGAGAAGCCAGGCTGGCATAGCACTAGCTGACTGAGGGACACTGATTCAAAAAATCACTCCTTTTTAAAAGCTTAGAGTCAGTAATCTGATTCCTTAGTTGCTTTTGAGTAAGATTAAAAAACAAAGACAAAAAAATCACGTAACTATGCTAACCATCTATAATATCAAGGATGTACTCATCAAACCAACAAAACAGAGCTTAATATTCAAGTATCACTACATCAGATGGTTACATGAGACTTACTGTACATTTCTTGGTTTGGACCAGGCCATGTTCTGGGTTTCCTTCAATCCTAGCCGAAGACCATTCATTGCCCCAAACGCAGCCCCTGGTAAATCATAACAATTCAGCCAGATAAGAGAGCTTTACATTAAAAAACAAACAAAGAAACTCAAAACTGCATAACTACACTTCTGATTCTTTTTCATTTAATAGAAAAAGACAAATGTAAATATTAAAAAAAAACCCTGAAACCAACATTCTAACTGCTTTTGATTTTAAGCACCCTCAACTACTTGAACTGAGCACACTTGAGAAAAAAGTATGTAACACTCACCTGTCATGCAACATCCTCCAATCGTAAAGAAGGCCAGCTCAAATCTGCCCCGGGTTTTATTAGCTCCAGTAGGTAAAATAAACTCATCTGTATCCTAAAAGGATAATAATGAAAACCAAGCTGAGGGTCCCTCAAGATACAAATCTTGTAAAGTCATCTTTTTTAACATTTCAAAGTAGTTTTTCACAGAAAGTAAACCTTAAATTAACTCAAACCTATACCTAAATAAAAATAAAACTTTCTGCAACAGTAATACCTAAATCAAAGTGAAATGAAATAGGAAACACAGTTCTCAGAAGGGAGTCTCATTAAAGACTGTTTCCTTCATAACTTAAATCTGATAGATTTGTGCAAAAGTTAAGTTTAGAAAGGACAGCTCTAGAGAAAGGAATACTGAAAGCTATTAGAAGAATAGAATAGACAAGCAGTCTGGAAGAAGCAAACAACTTTCATTCTGTAGCAGCTATTTATTGTGCATCTTTCCATGTATAAAGCCAAATGTTCAAAAAAATGGGCAAAAACTAATAAAGTACAACAGTTTGGATCAATCATGCAAGGGCAAATGACCCCCTTTAAGAATTCTTATCTGTTTAAGGAGTATATATTCCTTTGATACTCTTAGAAAGCTATAGACCCTCTTTCTAGTAATTGTATACACAAACTGTGGCATGAACCCCTGGAAGGTCACCCAAAATACTAAGATTGAGAAATGACACTCTTAAGAGCAAAATATGGTTACCAATTTTGAAGAGTCAATACACCTTTATGAAAAACACACTGGAAAAAACAAACAAACCAAATTCTATCACCTTGCTGGATTAAAAAAAAACACACACACAAACACACTCATTTTTGGCAAGCTTTCCATGCAAAGATGGTTAAAATAAGCCTCCAATGGCTAGGTCACACTCTTGGCAAAAAGACACATAGTGTGTTACATTTAACATAGTAAAGACCACTGACAATTAACATTCTCCTACATCCTCGTGGCAAATACTGAACGTTGATTCCGAAAAGTGTATTCCTGATCAGAAAACTGTGGTTCTGCCTTGGTTTTTTCTTTCTGGCATGTGCACACATCCTCACCAAAAATTGCAAAAGTAAACAAGCACATCCACTCTCATCACATAAGAACGGTCTGCTGGGCAATAATAAAAACTGAATAGATCCCATGTCATAGTATAATTGTATAGAGTTTTATAAATTTTGGGTACTTCAACTTTTAAATTAATGACTTAGTATTAAACTGAGCTTTTTGTTTGAATTTTTTGAAATGCTAGATTCAATGTGGTAACTAATTATCCTTTATTGTCAGGCCATGGTTCCTGAGAAAAAAAATATATATATATATATTCTTCAATCCAGAAACAGATCACTAATTAAGAACAGAAAACTTGGCCAGGAGTGGTGCCTCCCACCTGTAATCTCAGCACTTTGGGAGGCCGAGGTGGGTGGACTGCTGGAGCTCAGGAGTTTGAGGTCAGCCTGGGCAACACAGTGAAACCCCCTCTACTAAAACACAAAAAATTAGCTGGGTGTGGCAGTGTGTACCTGTAGTCCCAGCTACTTGGGAGGCTGAGGGAGGAGAACTGCTTGAATTCGGGGAGCGGAGGCCGAGATCATGCCACTGCACTCCAGCCTGGGTGACAGAGCAAGACTCTATCTCCAAAAAATGAATAAATAAATAAATAAATAAATAAATAAAATAAACAAAAAACTTAAAAAAAAAAAAAAAGGCTGTGATGGACATTATCAGGCAAGCACAAGTGCATGTCACCAACTCATTCTCCTGTTAGTAGCAACTGAAAAATAAAAACGTAACAAGGGTTGTAAGCAAATGTCCAACACACAAACAAGGTTGTTATCAAAGTATATTAATATGTTGAATGTAAGGAAGATTTACTAAAAAGCTCCTGTTAAACCTGTCCTGCTGACACTCCAGGACACTAGTATTACTAAAATCTCCTAAGTACCAGAGTTTGTTAACACAGAAGCTAAATCCAAGAATGGGTATCAATGTACTTGCTAGAGAAAAAGAAAAAAAAGAAAAAACATTTTTAATTTATAATTTTGTGTGTTTAACAATATGAATGTCAAAAATATTTAAATTTTCCTTATTTTTGTACCAGATGTTCACCTGGGCTAACAAAAAAAATTATTACTTGATACAATTAATGAGGATGTTAAGAGTAGCGATGATACAAAAGCATTAGTAAGAGAAACTACAGTACTGCATCAGATAAAAGTTGGTTAGGCACAGTGGCTCATGCTTGTAATGCCAGCACTTTGGGAGGCCAAGGTGGGAGGACTGCTTGAGTCCAGGAGTTCAAGACCAGCCTGGACAACATAGTGAGACCCTGTGTCTATTATTAAACAAGAAAAAAAAAAAAAGCTGTTGCCAAAGTCACGACATGGTGAGTTGAAGGTACTATTTTATTTAAGATGTCTCTAACCTTCAAAAGTATAAACAAAAGTTTGACAAAATGTAATTTCTATTAAGGTATCTTTAAACGTAAGGTTTCCTTAATTATTTCCAATAACAGATGAGGTTTATAAAACACTTTTTTAAGTCTGAAGTCCCTCTAGAATTCCAATGGAAGATAAATGTTCACGATGAAGAATGAATTCACAAGTTTTTTGGGGGATACTAACTATTTTATGTCTAACCTTAATAAGCCCCACCTAGCAATGCAGGGCCACAATGATACTGAATTTGTAACTAGATCTAGAGTACAACCTCTAAGTGTAGATTCAACATTAAAGCAAAATACATGCAACTAGTTTTGAAATTTTGAGTAAACTGACAAAGGGGCACTTTTAAAGCAAAAAAAATCAATGAACACCCAATGTTAAAATATAACATTTGAAAAACATTTCAAAAATAACGAAGTTTTAAACTGGCAAGGTCCAAATCATCAACTTGCTTCAATTCGAATACTTAACACAAACAAGAAATGCAGCCGCTGTCAGATGCTGTTAGTGATTCAACTCTGAAATAAAAGGTTCTAACCATAACTCTTAAATTAAAAAAAAAAAAAAAAAAGCCAGGCATGGTGGCTCACGCCTGTAATTCCAGCACTTTGGGAGGCCAAGACAGGAGGATCACTTGAGGCCAGGAGTTAGAGACCAGCCTGGGCAAACAAGCCAGATCATATCATCTCTACAAAGAATGTGAAAAAAAGAATTAGCCAGGCGTGGCGGTGTTCACCTGCAGCCCTAGCTACCTGGGAGGATGAGGTGGAAGGACTGCTTGAGTCTAGGAGTTTGAGGTTACAGTAAGCTATGCTTGAGGTTACAGCGAGCTATAATGCTGCTGCTGCAACTCCAGCCTGGGAGACAGAGTGAGACTTTGTCTCTTAGGAAAAAGAGAGAGAAAACAGAGTTACTGATATGTATCTCATGCACCATATAATTCACTTACTGAGTGTACAATTCAGTGGTTTTTAGTATATTCAGAGTCATGCAACCAAGACCACAATCAATTTTAAAGCATCTTCTTCACCCCCCGAAAAAATCACATACCCATTAGCAGTCACTGCCCATTTACTCCCAACCCTTGGCAGCTACTAATCTACTTTCTTGTCCATATATTTGCCTATTCTGGACATTCCATATAAATGGAACCACACAATATGTGGTCTCTTGTGACTGGCTTCTTTCATTTAGGAAGTTTTAAAGGTTCATTTATATTGTAGCATAATTTAATACTTTTTTATTGCCAAATAATATTCCATTGTATGGATATGCCACATTTTTTTATCCATTCATCAGTGGATAAACATTTGGTTTGTTTCCATTTTTTGATTATGAATAATGCTACTAGGAACACTCATTCACAACTTATGTGCACAGAGGTTTTCAATTCTCTTGAGTATGGAGTATACGTAAGTGAAATTGTCAGTCATAAGGTAACTCTATTTTTAACACTTTAAGAAACTGCCAGACTTTTCCAAAAGCAGCTGTATCATTTTACGTTTCCACCAGCAATGTACAGAAATCCAATTTCCCTACATCCTCAACAATATGTATTATTTTCTTTTTGATTATACTGATCCCCATGGGTGTAAAGAGGTATCTCATTGTGGTTTTATTTCTCTAATTAATGTTACTGATCAGCTTTCATGTCACTATTAGACATCTCTACATCTTCATAAACGTCTACTCAAATACTTTGCCCATTTTGTAATTATTTTTTACTAATGTTTTAAGAGTTAAAAAATTAAATATTCTAGATATAAATTCCTTATCAGATACATAATACACAAATATTTTCTCTCAATCTGTCGATTGTCTTTTCCCAATTTTTTTTTTTTCCTTTTGAGACAAGGTCTCCATCTGTCACCAAGGCTGGAGTTAAGTGGCTTGATTACGCTCACTGAGACTTGACCTGCTGGACTCAAGTGATCCTCCCACCTTAGCCTCCCTAGTAGCTGGGACTACAGGTGCACACCACCACACCCCGCTAATTTTTGTGATTTTTTTGCAGAGATGGGATCTTCTTATGTTGCCCAGGCAGGTCTTAAACTCTTGGGCTCAAGTGATCCTCCCGCCACAGCCTCTCAAAAGTGTTGGGATTATAGGTGTGAGCCACTGCATCAGGCCTTTTTCCATTCTTTTTTTTTTTTTGAGGCAGAGTCTTACTCTTTTGCCCAGGCTAAAGTGTGGTGGCATGATCTCGGCTCATTGCAACCTCTGCCTCCCAGGTTCAAGTAATTCTCCTGCCTCAGCCTCCCAAGTAGCTGGGATTACAGGCACCCAGCACTGCGCCTGGTTAATTTTTGTATTTTTTAGTAGAGACGGGGTTTCACCATGTTGACCAGGCTGGTCTCGAACTCCTGACCTCAGGTGACCCACCAGCCTCGGCCTCCCAAAGTGCTGGCATTACAGGTGTGAGCCACTGCACCCGGCCTCCATTCTTGTTGGTATTGTCTGAATCACAAAATTTTAAAATTTTGATTAAATACAACCTGTCAACATTCTATCACTTGTGCTTTTGGTGTCACATCCAAGAAATCACTGTCTAATCCAAAGTCACAACTACTTGTGCCTATGATTTCTTCTAAGAGTTTCTTGACAGCTTTAGTTTGCATTTAAGTCTTTAATTCATTTGGTGGTAACATTTTGTATATGGTGCAGGGTTAGGGTTCAACTTCATTCTTATGCATATGGGTTCCAGTTGTCCTAACATCTCCCCTGACTTATCTTGGCATCCTTGTTGAAAAGCAACGTCTTTCTTCTGGACTCTGTATTTCATTAATCTATGGATTTATTCTTATGTTACTATCATGATGTGGTTCTGTAGAAAGTTTTGAAATTGACAAGTTCAAGTCCTCCAATTTATTTTCTCAAAGTCATTGGTCATTCAATGTCCCCTGAATTTCCGTACGAAGTTTAGGATAAAAGCTTGTCAATTTCTGCAAAAAAAAGCCAGCTGGGATTTTGACAGGCACTGCACTAAATCTGTTGGTTAATTTGGTGAGTACTGTCATGTTAATATTAAAATTTTCAGGACCATAGCAAGTGTCTTTCCACTTAATTTCAATAATGTTTTATAGTTTTCAGAATATGTTTTGCACCTGGTCCATTTATTTCTAAGTATTCGCTTTTTAATGTTATTGGTAATGAACTGTTTTTTGTAATTTCACTTTTGTAGTGTTCACTGTGACTCTCTAGAAACATATTTATGTATATTGAACTTGTATTCTGCAACTTGCTGAACTCGATCATTAGTTTTAATAGATTTTTGTGATTTCCCTTGTGATTTTCTATAGATAAGATCATGTCATTGGTAAACAGATAGTTTAACTTCTTTTTCAACTTGAATGCCATTTCATGTTCTTGACTAATTGCCCTGGTCAGACAATGCTGAATATAAATGAGAGTAAACATATTTACTTTGTTCTTGATCTTAGGGAGAAGGTATTCAGTCTTTCACTATTAAATTATGTTAGCTTTGGATATTCTCTAGATGCCATTTATAAGGCTGAAGCCCCTTCTGTGTCTAGTTTTATTTATTAATTTAGAGATAAGGTCTTACTCTGTTACCCAGGCTGGAGTGTAGCGGCGTGATCTCAGCTCACTGCAAGTTTTGTCTCCAGGGTTCAAGCGATTCTCGTGCCTCAGTCTCTAAAGCAGCTGGGATTACAGGTAGGCACCACCATGCCTGGCTAATTTTTGTATTTTTAGTAGAAACAGGGTTTCGCTATGTTGGCCAGGCTGGTCTCAAAACTCCTGGCCTCAAGTGATCCACCCGCCTCACTTCCCAAAGTGCTGGGATTACAGGTGTGAATCACTGCGCCCAGCCTAGTTTGTTTTTATAATCATAAATGGGGGTGTTGGATGTTGTCAAACGATTTTTGTGAATCTACTGAGATGAGCATGTGGTCTATATTCTTTCCTTGATTGCTTTATTATAAATTGATATGGCACAATACATTAATTTTCAGGTGTTAAATCAACATTTCTTTCCTAATATATCCAAGACATATTTCCTAATATAGGAAATATATCTTGGATTCAAAAAGATACTCTTTGAAACTTTTGATGCTTAGTCAAAAGAACCCTGATATTGTAAACTGAGCTTTAAAACACACTTTGTCTGTAATCCCAGCACTTTGGGAGCCCGGCCAACATGGTGAAACCCCGTCTCTATTGAAAATATAAAAATTATCCAGGCACTGTGGTGGGCACCTGTAGTCCCAGCTACTCGGGTGGCTGAGGCAGGAGGATGGCCTGAATTTGGGAGGCTGAGGTTGCAGTGAGCAGAGATCGCGCTACTGCACTCTAGCCTGGAGGACAAAAGCAAAACTCCATCTCAAAACAAACGAACAAACAACAACAACAAAAAAACCCCATACACTTTGTAATTAGGCACCCCAATACTTTATTGGGGTGCTTTCAAAAATTAATTCTGCTGTGGTTTTAAAAAAATAAGCCTTTGAAGGTAGTTAACTGATTTCAGAGAGATGCAGGCCAAGCTCCTAGTGTTTGTGAGGAAAAAAGGGTAAATGGAGAGCAGAAACTTACTGCCTCCAGAAGTGCATGTCATAGTTCAAGTCAGCATAGCACTTGGCTTTTTTTTTTTTTTAATGGTAAAATAATGCACCAAACTAGTAAAATCTTAATCTTACCTGCACGAGGTATCGCGGATCCACATTTAAATAAGGAGACAGAGGGTTCATACCAGTTACTAGAGAGAAAACAAAATGTCACATTGCAACAACATTCTTTAAGTTAATTCGGTTAGAGTTAATCCAGCTCCTGATTGTTACATGTGTTTGCAATTTTTACAGGCTCACTGAAGGCGAAAATTTTGTCCCATTTTATCCTCCCTGTCAGTTTGGGGGCTGACTCAGGATATCCTCAGACCCTCAATCCCAAACCAGGTTTTCCACTGGTGGCTCAGGCTTTTACACCAGGTAAGATATTCGCAGTGTCATAGATCAGATTACTGAACTTACAGGAAGTGTAGCCTAGGCCATTTATAGTTAATTTCTTTCAATTTACTACAAGAATGCTTGGTGACTATGTAAATTGCAAAATAACACTGAGAAAAGACTAATCAATTCCATGGTGAAAACAGTGGTTGGGTTGGGTTTTCTGACTGTGTACATGTTGTATGTAAGTATTTCAAGGCAGTTCCTTCACGTATTACTATTAACGATTGATTTACTGTGGCAAGGGTGAGAATCCTTGGGTCATTACCACAGGTATGTGGGTCTGTGCAAAAGAAAATACAAACTTTCAGAGGGCCAAACCTGAATTCACTAACACTGAAAACAGTAAAACCTATCAATCTTTGGATTCTTCTGTATCTCAGCAGTTAATTCACAAATATATGCATCACCTATGCCTCTGATCGTTTCATCAATTATAAGTCCTGTTTATTCTATTTTCATCACCTATTTTGAATTGTTACTTATCTCTATTGCTACCATCCTAGTCCAACCATCATATCTCACAGCAACAACTTCCTACCTAACTCCTTGCTTTCTCTTGCCCCTTCAACTCACTGTCTACATAGCAACTACAGTGATTTTTCTTAAGAAAATCCAAACTCCTTACCATAACCTACAAAACCCTACATTAGCTGTCATTCCCTACCTCTCTGATTTCACAATCTTCAGTTGATCCAACTCCCTTGTAACTATGAAGACAGAATGGCCTAAGAGTTGTTCCTTAAACATACCAAATTTGTTTTGTTTCAGGACATTTGCACTAGCTAATTTCCTGGAAACTTGCCTCCCAAGCATTTGTACTGTATTTGGGTCACAGCTCAAATGTCAACTCCCTTAAGATGTTTTCCCTAACCCGTTCTAAAATGGCATCCTGCTTCCATCACAATCTCATGACTCTGCTTTATTCCCGTTTACAGCCCTTACCACTAACTGTAATGTTTTAATTTATGTTTGTTGGCTTACCTCTGTATTATGTAAGCTCTGTGAGTGCAAGAGTCTTTTCAAAACAAAACAAAACAAAAAAACACAAAAAAACCACTATAGTCCTGTCCCCAGTTTAGTAAATGGTGTTCATTCCCTGGTCCCTCAATTTACCTTCAAACCTTAATCACATTAAGGTAACAATATTGTCACATTAAGGAAGTGTATGCCGTTTGTGCTCTGAAACTCAGAGATATTAAGATTAATATGAAACTGTGTTCTAAACAGGTAGAGTGGTAGCTCAGGCCTAGGAACCCCAGCACTTTGGGAGGCCGAGACAGGAGAATGGCTTGAGCTCAAGAGTTTGAGACCAGCCTGGGTAACACAGGGAGATCCCATCTCCATAATAAGTTAAAAAAAAAAAAAAAAAATTAGCCAGGCGTGGCGGCACGTGCCTAGAGTCCCAGCTACTTAGGAGGCTTAAAGGGGAGGATTGTTTCAGCTCAGACGTGCGAGGCTTCAGTGAACTATAATCATGCCACAGCACCCCAACGTGGGTGACAGAACGAGGTACTGACTCTAAAAACAGAAAAAAACAACAGAACAGAACAGAACACCTTGTGTTGTAGATTCCGTTTTTTGACAAAGGTGATATGAAGGGATATGAAAGGTCTTTTCTTTTATATTTTTTTGCGCTAGTCAGTCTGAACATATTTTGTTGTTGCTGTCCTTTAGTATAAAACACCTAGAAAAATATTACAAGGATTCTCTAAAAAGTACTTTCGTAAAGGCTTTATCCACGACCAACTGCCTATCTTTGGGTTCAAGTTCTATTTATCCAGTTGAATAACCACGGTTACAAAGTACCAAAGTTCTGGAATACATATTCGCAAGACTGAGGAGAGGCAAAGGCAAGGTATTTATGCCTCTGTATCCTTTATGTTGTTGCTTATTTCCTTTCCTATAATTCTTACGTGGCTTCTTTCTTCATGTCTATATATGTCACCTTTAAAGTTCAGCTTACTTCCTAGCTCCTAGAGATGGTTTCCCAGCCTGTCCCAAGTCATACTTATTTCTCACTTATATGCAATACTACTGAATGTTCTGCCCTAACGGCTACTTGGGGGTTCAGAATACGTCGCTGTGTATTAAAAAGTTAACTACGGCTTGCTATTTGGAATACATTTACTCCCAAAGCTGGGCTCTACTCTTAATCAAGGGCCAATCACACGGCCCACCACACACAAAAGACACGAGGCTTGGATATAAACCTAAGAAAACATGCATCATCTCGCGAGTCCAGGTCAATCACGGATAGCTTCCCCGGGAGATCCGTGGCCCTTTTTAAGGCCTTTCGATCTTGAAAGAGCAGCCATGCAGACACACTAACCCCACCACTGGTGCTGAAGCTTGTAAATGCCAGAAAGGGAAAAAAACATAAAACATGGGACGCGCAACTTTAGTGAAGACGCAAGAACCAGTCAGAAATAATCGCAAGGTAGGCCCCATACTTACGCGGGACGCCAGCCAAATCCGCGTGCGAGTAACCTGCTCCGCCGGCTCCGAAAAAGCCGGCCAATCCCCCTGTGGTTTTGTTGCCGCTTCCCCCGCCTCCTTCCATGGTATCTCAGCAAACCGAGTGGTTCCCGCCGCTGTCTCGAGTCTGGGTGGTCCGCTGGGCCGTTGCTCCTCAATAACAGCGGGTAACCCCCGGGTTGCTAGCGCCTCCTTCACACGCTGACCTTCCGGGCGCCGGTTCCCCCTAAGCGCCGCGCTTCCGCTTTGCGGCAGTGTGCGCCCCGGAAGCCGGAAGCGCCTGACGGCAGCTTTCCGGTGGTGGGAAAGGGAACGAGTCCCGAATCTAAGCGGCGCATTCTGAGGCAGGTGGGGTGCCAGTGGAAGAGGGACTGCAGGAGACTGTTTACGGCCTGACTTGGGAGGCCGCGGTCAGCAACTGCAGAAGCAGGAAGCAGCGGAGAGGGAATGGTGCGGGGAGGCGCGGAGAAGGAGGTGCAGTCCATCCCTCTCACGGTTAGTGAATGAGGCTCTCCGCCCGGGCCGGCCCGGGGACAGTGCGCTGCGGGTCCCAGCATGAATGCGGGCCCCGGCTGTGAACCCTGCACCAAGCGACCCCGCTGGGGCGCCGCTCCAACTTCGCCGGCTGCTTCGGACGCCCGGAGCTTTCCCAGCAGGCAGAGGCGCGTCCTCGACCCCAAGGACGCTCACGTGCAGTTCAGGGTCCCACCGTCCTCGCCAGCCTGCGTCCCAGGGCGGGCGGGACAGCACAGAGGCAGCGCCACCTCGCTTGGTACGTGGGAAAATAAAAATATTTGTTCTTCGCCTCGGCCGGAACCTTCTGGTCTCAGTCTGAGGACCCAGGGGCTCCAGTCACTCCTTTCTGGTCTTGTGTGCATTATCATGCTGAGGTCCACTTGCTGAGCTACCAAAGCCACTAGTGGGTGAATGGGGCCGCATTTTTCCCAGTGCTATTGATGTGAGAAACTGATGAGCAGTCACTCACAGGGCGGAAAATGGCAGGAGATTCCACCACCTGTTTGCTTCTTCAGGTTTGATTGAGAAATTGCCTTAGTCGTCAAGGAGATGTAGTTGTGTATGTGAAACAGTAGGGCGCTTTGGCCTCTAGATAGGAAGAAAACAACTTCACTTCACTTGTTCAGATTCTGGGTCTCAGGGTGCAGAGCTATTAGTCTAAGCTGGCATTGTACCCGTCCCTGGCATGCAGTGTTGAACAAGAGAAGCTTGGCCTCTGCCTTCATACCTTAAAATCTATCTGGAGAGATAGACAATAGCAAAAGTTAATATAATAAAAGGTAATGGATGTTCTGATACATGAAGGACAGATTGTTCTACCTAACCTAATTTATGGGATCGAAAATAGTCCTCCAGAAGATGAGATGCTTATTCTGAGGACTTTAGAATGAGTAGAAGTTAGATGAGGAGGAAGTAAGTGAGTGTTTCAGGAGTGCAACTGAGGCCGGGCGCGGTGGTTTACGCCTGTAATCCCTGCACTTTGGGAGACCGGGGTTGGTGGATCACTTGAGGTCAGGAGCTCAAGACCAGCCTTAACCAGTGTGGTGAAACCCCGTCTCTACTAAAAATCAAAAAAAATTAGCCGAGCCTGGTGGCGGGCAGCTGTAATCCCAGCTACTCGGGAGGCTGAGGCAGGTGAGGCAGGAGAATCGCTGGAACCTGGGAGGCGGAGGTTGCAGTGAGTCAAGAGGGCACCATTGCACTCCAGCCTGGGCAACAAGAGTGAAACTCCGCCTCAGAAAAACAAAAACAAAACAACACAAAAACAAGTGTAATTGATACATAGAGTGAACGCAGGAGAGTGAGAGATGAGGCTGCAGGGTGGTCCAAAAATTCAAATCAAATTGGATATGTAGACATTGCTAAGGATTTTGAGCTTTAAGGGCATTGAGAAGCTACTCAAGGGTTTTTAGGAGGGGAGTGATTTGATTAGACTTATTTGTTGAAAAGTCTGTGTGGCTGGTGTGTGGACAATAAAGAATGGATTGGAAAGGAACTCAAGTGGAGCCTCAAGACTCAGTTAAGGAGCTCATCTAGGTTGGAAATAATTGTAACTTAGACCTGGGTGCTGGCAATAGAGAAGGGGGTGGATTCATGAAAGAATGGGATGCTTGAGAAGAAATATTTCTGTGCTGGAAAAGTAGATTGGGGAGTTCTTGGCATAAACATTATAATGGATGCTAGGGGCATAGATAACATATAAACATGTAGAGAAAGGAAAGGTTGACCTAGGGCAGAAGCCTTAGGAACACCAAAGTTCAAGGGTAGACTGAAGAGAAGCAGCTGCAGAGGTGGAAGGAAAGCCTGGCTTGTGTTGTGTCAGGCAAAGGAGAGCATTTCAAAAAGGATGCATTCGTTAACAGTGTAAGAGGCTGGGTAGAGCTCGGGCAGTTCTCTGATGAAGAGTGTACACTTAGATATCTTCATACTTAGGGGCAGTACCAAGCCGACTTTCACTGAGCCTTGAAGGATGAGGAAGATTTGCTGTATAAATCAGGAGGAGAAGGAATTATACACGCAGAGGGAATAAGACATGCAAAAGTTGGTAAGACTGGAGCATAAGATGACAGAGGAGTGTCAGATGAGGCTGAGTGGCAGGCAGGAGCTTGTGAAGAAACTCAAGTTCCATTTTAAGGAATTTCAACCTTATTCTGTGGTTAATGGAGAAACCACTAAAAAACTTTTAAGCTTGGGAATACCATTTGGTTAATATTTTAGAAAATATGGCTTAAACAATGGCTTTTGGACTTTTCTAACTGCAACCCACAGCATAAATTTTATCTGGTACACAGAGTTAGAAATATATGTAACCTGGCAAATAAGACATATTTTTAACTGAAATAAATGCTCCATGAAATAATACTTAACTTTACTATGTGTGATGCATTCTTGTATTGTCTGTGTTATTTCAAACTACAAATTGACTGGTCATTTGTAGTTTGTAGAACACTGGATAGTCAAGATTATAGACAGGGAGACTAGTTGCAAGAAACATGGCAGTTGTCTAATAAGTGATGTGTTTAAAGGGTATACGAAAGGGATGGATTTAAAATTTAGGATGTAGATTTCAGAGAACTTGGTATGGGGAGAGGGAACTGAAGGTGAACTTCAGGTGTGTGTTCAGGTGTACTTCAGCCCCGTGACTGGATAATTTGTGGTTTCATTAACCTTATTATCATGTAAAAAAGGAGGAGTTAGTTGCAATAGGGGTGAGGACAGTCAGTCCTCACTGGTTGGATCTTTAGATTTCTACAGAAGAGGTACCAAATGAATACTTGGGGCTGTATTTCACGTGTTTAAATGTTTTCTGTATACCTGGGACAGGACACCAATTAACAATGTTCAAAGACTATATTTGTATCAAAAGCCCATTGTTTGAATTTTTGGGATTCCTGTAGGAACTTGGTATTTAAATTTTTATACATAATTATCTTAGGACAAGTAGGTGGGGTAAAGAAATGGATATTTACTCAGTATCTTTAAATTTTACATTATTTATCCTCCTGGGCACGTTTCTTATACTGACTGAAATCGCAAATTTTGCTGGGCATGGTGACATGCACCTGTAGTCCCAGCTATTTGGGAGGCTAAGGCAAGAGGATCACTTGAGCCCGGGAGTTCCAGTCCAGCTTAAGCAGCATAGCGAGACCCCACTTCTGAAAAAAGAAAAAAAAAAGAATCTGCAAACCTGCATATTGGCAGAACTCAGCATGTTATTCACATTGTGATGATAAAGGGTTTATCCAGATGCGTTGCTATGGACTTTTTGTGAAAGTGGAGCGTGCCTTTGAAATGTAGGTGAATGTTATTGCATTTTGTGCCTTTTGGCTGTATCTATAGCTGTTAATTGAATGACCTGCTGATTAAAATACACTGGTTACTGAGTAATGTTACTGATGAGAATAAATGTAAATGTTGTGAAGTCAAAGTTGAAGAATTACTGATCTCAGTGGGGAAAAAAAAGACTGGGTGGAAATGTCGGGAGATAACATATTTGTTGAGTGTTTTGTGAGACTGAACACAATATTTTCTCTAATTTTTGCATTTTAATTGATCAACATAACCTTTAGAAGTAGATGTTGTTAGCTTCATTTTCTGGGTGAGTAAATAAAGGCTTAACAAAGTGAAGCAACTTGACCAAGATGGTACTAGTAAGTGACTGAACAAAGATCTCAATCCAAGATGATCTGACTCTAGATCTTGTATCTTCGTCACTTTTTATTGCCACTCTTTTTGCCTTGTTGTGACTATTTCTAGTTAAAATTCACAGGAAACCTGGAAAGCATCATTTTATGCTTCAGGAGTAAGAGGGATAAAGCTCTGACACAGTCCTGTGGTGTGTTGGGAAGGAAACCTTAGGAAGCCAGAAGTAGTGATATTGCAGAGAGCAGTAAGCAGTCCTTTCTCTGAGGCCCTAGGAAGGACTGATCAATGTTTTATTAGCAGAAGATACTGGTTCCTCACCTCTTGCTTTTCCTCCTTCATCCCTTCCTCAGGCTTCAGGAAACCTGAAACTGGAGAGAAAACACATTCTCAGGGTCAGGGCTACAGGAGAGAGCTCTCTTCCTCACCATCACTGGAACACTCCTGGTTTTTCATGAAATGATGTGTGCAGTCTTTAGGTTCTGTAGACTTATCACTGGAGTATGTGCTTCGTGTGTGTTTTAGGAACCTAGTCATTGCATCTTAACATTAATCCTTATATTTATGGAAAAAAGATGTTTTAACTTCTAAACCAACTCAAAAAATGAATGTTTTGGCATATTACTGGTTTGTAATTTGAGGATTTTTTTTTTTTTTTTTAAGATGGAGTCTCACACTGTCGCCGAGGCTGGAGTGCAGTGGCACGATCTCAGCTCACTGCAAGCTCCGCCTCCCGGGTTCACACCGTTCTCCTGCCTCGGGCTCCCGAGTAGCTGGGACTTCTGGCGCCCGCCACAACGCCCGGCTAATTTTTTGTATTTTTAGTAGAGACGGGGTTTCACCGTGTTAGCCAGGATGGTCTCGATCCCCTGACCTCGTGATCAGCCCATCTTGGCTTCCCAAAGTGTTGGGATTACAGTCATGAGCCACCGTGCCCGGCCCAATTTGAGGATTTTCTAAACTATACTTGCTGTATTTGATATAAAGAAAAAGAGAATACAGAACTATAGAAAAAGTTTCAGAATCAGATGGTTTATCCTCTTACTCCCTCTGACTGAGGCTCATTTTTTCTCTGAAGCCTGATCTGCTGCAGAAATGCTAAATAAAATCATTGAAGTAATGGTGTTTAACAGTAAGAAATCACTATGCATGATTACTTTTTTGTGATAGAAACTATTTTTTGAAACACTAATCAAAGATTTTTACTAGTTGGATTATAAGTATTTTGTGGAAGGTAAAGATTATATAGCAGTTGAATATTTTTCTGGTATAAAATTCTCCCCATCTGAAATGTATTTTGATTATGCCATTATCTCAATGAAAAATAAACCATTGATTTTCGTCTGTTGGAGCCTGCATCTGTTTTGCTCAATATGGTGTTTGAGGAGAGGTAGGTAAATAAGAAAGATCCTGTGACTTAGTGTGCTAAGATTCTTACATTCAATTTAGTGAGTATCTCAAATCTTAAACATTTGCGAATGTTTAAGATTTTATTTCTGATACTAAAATATGATGTACATTTAATCCCTATTCAATATATTAAATTTTGACAGCATACTTACTTCTAATGATTATATAAAATGTGGCTTGTATTTATTTATATTGCATCTCCCTCTCCTGAGCTATCAATTCTACTGTTGCTACTATCTGCTGGTGTGTTGGGAAGGAAACCTTAGGAAGCCAGAAGTAGTAATATTGTTTTCTACCTAGTTACTTCTTTGGCATCTCAAATTTAGTATAGGCAGAATCGACCTAATCATGCTTTTTCCCTAAACACAATTCTCTTATATTCCATATTTCTACTTAAGGCTGTCATCATTTTTCAAGTCTCTCAAGCCCAAAGCTTAAAGTCACTTTTAACTTCCCCTCTTATTGTGAAGTCTGTAATGACTCTCCTCACTTCTACTACTCTCACAAGGACTAGTTTATGTTCTTGGCCAGTCACTGTTCAATCTAGTGGATTATCAAAATCACTTTTGGAAAAAAAAAAAAAAGATTCCAGCTCCCCTCATGCCTTCATCCTACTCACATATAGATTCTGATTCAGTAGAACTTCATCCTACTCATACGGATTCTGATTCAGTGTGGCTGGCTTCCTGATGATCCAAATAGTTTAGGAACCACTGACCTGGACTAGTAGCTTTCTCCCTGGTTTCTGGCAATAAGCTCTTCACTCTTGCCCCTCAGATTTATCCTCCAGGCTGTCATGCATGACTGTGAGCCTCCTAGATGAGAAGAATCATATCTTTTAACACATTTTTTTGTACTTCTCTTTGTGGGTCATTCAAGATCCTATTGTATGATATGATCCTGGCTGACTTTTCAACCATGTTTTCTTTTGCTTTCTTTTTAAGTTCTTTGTATTTCCCCGATATTGGTGCCTTTGCTTATAATTTTCTTTTTATGTGACTGCATGTTTACTTTTCAAGGCATAATTCAAGCCTTACCTTTTCCAAAGAAATCTTACCAATTATGCCCCAGTTTCTCCTATTCACCGAAGTAGTGTCTTCCTGGGAAATAACCTTAATTCCTTTATCGGGACCTCTTTTAATAATAATGATAATTAAGAATCAACATTTACTAAGCATAAACCAGATAATGCCCTAAACACTTTATATAAACTGTTTTTACTTAAATTAAGCCTTGTCTCATGAGAGAGAGTTATTTTACACGTTTACAAATGAGGGATCTAAGATACGGAGAAATGACCCCTCACAGAGTAACTTAGGAAGCTAATGGGAGAATCAGGATTTGAATGCAAATGTTCTGATTCCGTAGCCTATGCTGTTATCCATTAGGCCATACCAACTCTCTTAGGCACCAGTCATTTTCTACCCTGTGTCATATGTATTAACATTTATGTTCCTATCTCACTGGTATTACTTGAGGGCAAATACTTGAGTTATTAATCTTTTGTTTAACCTGTAGAACCTAGCATAGTTCCTTGCATGTATAATATGCTGTATATGTTTTCTGTTTGAAGGAATGTATGAATATACATTTTTTTTTTATAGTTTTCAAACAAAAGACTATTACCAGTTGGATGGACACTAAAGGAATCAAGACAGCGGAATCAGAAAGGTATAGAGACATTCCTATATGGAGAAATGAATAATAATACATGGATGTTTTATCTTGTTGCTTTAGTATTTTCTTTCTTTGTTCATGCTTTTCTGTTCTCCTTTATCTATGTTAATTCAAAATCACCTTAAAAGTAATTTTTTAGAGAGTCCTTTGTGTCAGGGACGGTCCTGTATACTTGAAATACCGAGATGAGACAGGAATAGTCTGTCTTTTTTTTTTGAGATGGAGTCTCGCTCTATCGCCCAGGCTGGAGTGCAGTGACGAGATCTCGGCTCACTGCAAGCTCTGCCTCCTGGGTTCACGCCATTCTCCTGCGTCAGCCTCCCGAGTAGCTGGGACTACAGGCGCCTGCCACCACGCCTGGCTAATTTTTTGTATTTTCAGTAGAGATAGGGTTTCACCAGGTGTAGCCAGGATGGTCTCGATCTCCTGACCTCGTGATCCGCCTGCCTCGGCCTCCCAAAGTGCTGGGATTACAGGCATGAGCCACTGCGCCCGGCCAGTTTGTGTCTTTAAGATACTTACAGTGTAGCAGTGGCCACACACACAAAAACACATACTTACTGCCTAGTGTGATGGATGCAATAGTAAAGGTATGAGCAAGGCACAGTGGTGGTTAGTGTGTAGAAGAAACAAATGTCCAACTTTACTTTTGCTCCCTAAAGCAAGACTGCATAGAGATGTGAGTGACATTTATGACTTGAAGGAAAGGCAAGTGTTTGCCAGACACGCAGCTGCAGGGAGGGCATTGGGGCACATGCAAAGGCATGGAGTCATGGAAGACGTGTGTGCTCAGGTAACTAAAGGGAGTTTAATTACTGCTGTGACACTGGGGATATAATTGGATAAGTGACTTTTTTGTATTATAAGTTGTTTTTAGTTCTTTCTGTTCTCTTGTAGTTTGGATAGTAAAGAAAACAACAATACGAGAATAGAATCCATGATGAGTTCTGTACAAAAAGATAACTTTTACCAACATAATGTAGAAAAATTAGAAAATGTTTCTCAGCTAAGTCTTGATAAGTCACCCACTGAAAAAAGTACACAGTATTTGAACCAACATCAGACTGCAGCAATGTGTAAGTGGCAAAATGAAGGGAAACACACGGAGCAGCCTTTGGAAAGTGAGCCTCAGACACTAACCCTGGTACCAGAGCAGTTTAGTAATGCTAACATTGATCAGTCACCTCAAAATGATGATCACAGTGACACAGATAGTGAAGAAAATAGAGACAATCAACAGTTTCTCACAACGGTAAAGCTTGTAAATGCAAAGAAGACTACAGAAGATGAACAGGCCAGAGAAGCCGGAAGCCACCAGACGTGCAGCAAGTCTTGCCATCCTGGGAAAGACTGTGCAAGTTGTCAGCAAGAGGAGATAGACGTCGTGCCAGAGAGTCCATTGTCAGATGCTGGCTCTGAGGATGTTGGTACTGGACCAAAAAATGACAACAAATTGAGTAGACAAGAAAGTTGCCTAGGAAATTCTCCTCCATTTGAGAAGGAAAGTGAACCCGAGTCACCGATGGATGTGGATAATTCTAAAAATAGTTGTCAAGACTCAGAAGCAGATGAGGAGACAAGCCCAGGTTTTGATGAACAAGAAGATGGTAGTTCCTCCCAAACAACAAATAAACCTTCAAGGTTCCAAGCAAGAGATGCTGACATTGAGTTTAGGAAACGGTATTCTACTAAGGGAGGTGAAGTTAGATTACATTTCCAATTTGAAGGAGGAGAGAGTCGTACTGGAATGAATGATTTAAATGCTAAACTACCTGGAAATATTTCTAGCCTGAATGTAGAATGCAGAAATTCCAAGCAACATGGAAGAAAGGATTCTAAAATCACAGATCATTTCATGAGACTGCCCAAAGCAGAGGACAGAAGGTAATTTTCTGTGAGGACTATCTCTCCAATAGCATAATATGCTTTATAGTTTTGTAAGGGAGTTTAACGAAGCTATGATTTCTAGTAAAGCAAAGAAATGGTTTTGTTTCTTGTTAACTACTTATGCGAAATTTAAACCTAGACTCCAAAGTTTAAACTCTGAAAAGGCTAGAAACAGAAAACAAGAAATAAAATGAGTATTAGAAATCAGATTTTTAGTTTCATGAGCTTCCTTTTGGTATTTATGGGAATTACTAGAACATGAAAATACTAGGTTGATAGTAGCTACTGTTTCTTCAGCCAGACATTCTTGTAGGCCATTGTGTATTACACCTTTTTTTTTTTTTTTTTACACTGTTTAATGCCGTGACAGGCAGACAGATGGTATTATACTCACTAAATGAGAAAACTGAGATTTGGGTTAGAGAATTCACTGGAATCATGCACCTTCTGAGTGGTAATGCTGGGATTTAAATCCAGGTGTGTCATATTACAAAGCTTATATTTTGCTATTACCCCATATGGAATCTTAAATCCCATCCATGATTTCTGTGATCTGAGTTTCCTGAGATAGTGCAATAAGCATGCAATAGTGAGTTCACTTCATTGAAAATTACTGTGTAGATGATACTGTGAACCATGACTCATTTCTGTTTTGAGAAGGTGATTTACATGTGTTTGGAACTTTCTTCCACAGACTGTTAAAAATAAGCTCTTGAGTTTTATAAGCTTTATAAGTTTTTCTGTTGATATATAAATATAAAACATAATGAAATGAGTAACATCTAGGTAAGTTTTGTGCTTGTGTATCTAAGGGAATTAAAACAGCAAATAATTTGTGACTAAATACATTTGTCTTGACCTTAGAAAAGAACAATGCGAAACCAAACATCAAAGAACAGAAAGGAAGATCCCTAAATACGTTCCGCCTCACCTTTCTCCAGATAAGAAGTGGCTTGGAACTCCCATTGAGGAAATGAGAAGAATGCCTCGATGTGGGAGCCGGCTGCCTCTCTTGAGACCATCTGCCAATCACACAGTAACTATTCGGGTAGGTAGCACCTCTTATCTATCATGAGAGAAGACTGGAAGTCCTCATTTATTGTGAAACAGACCAAGGCTTAGAAAGTTCTTCTGTTTTCTGCATATATAAAATACTGAGAATCCTACAGTATGGAACGGTGTGATGATAACCTACTTAATATGGAACCTAACAAGTTAGCAATCATTAGCAATCATTGTCAGCTGATGGTGAAGATTTTTTTTTCCAGTATTTTTAAGAAACCTCATTGGATTCTTTTTCTGTCTTTTTACTCAGTTGATAGTATTGTGTACCCACTGCACAATCCTGCATTCATCCCTAAATTTCAAAGTTACGTATAGTTTAGTGTCCTTAAATCATTATCCAGTTGTGCCTTTTTTTTTTTTTTTTTTTTTTTTTTTTTTTTTTTTTTTTTTTTTTTGCAGGAGACCAGAGTTTTCTTATTACTCAAATCAGTCTCCTCGAGCATTTGGAGGTCAGAGTTTTTAAGGATAATTTGGTGGGTTGGGGAAGGCCAGTGAGTCAAGAGTACTGATTGGTTGGGTCACAAGAAGAAATAATGGGAAGTTGAAGCTGTCCTCTTGTGCTGCATCAGTTCCTGGGTGGGGACCACAAGATCAAATGAGCCAGTTTATCCATCTGGGTCCAGGTGCCAGCTGATCCATCAAGTGCAGGGTCTGCAAAATACCCAAGCACTGATCTTAGCAATTTAGGGAGGGTCTGAATCTTGTAGCCCCCAGCTGCACGACCCCTAAACCATAATTTCTAATCTTGTGCCTACTTTGTTAGTTCTACAATGGCAGTCTAGTCCCCAGGCAAGAAGGGGGTTTCTTTTGGGAAAGGACTGTTACTGTCTTTGTTTTAACATTATATTAAAACATTATAACAACATTGTAACAAAACATAACAAAATACTAACATTTTATGGGAGTTACAAGCCAAGAACCTGGACAAAAACCAATGTGAATATCATAACACTACACTAACAGAAACTCTGTACATATTAAATAATTAAACCTCCTTCCCTGCTTCTCCTAGTTCTTAGTTACCTCTTTTATACTTTCTGTGTGTTCTTACTTTTAAAAACCAATTTCATTGAGGTATGTAAAAATTCACCCATTTTAAGTGCTCAATTTGGTGATAGAGTCCATTTGAGCTATGTGACCATCACCATAATCCAGTTTTAGATTGCCATCACTCGCTGGGTAGTTTTAAACATTCATCTCATTTATTAGTCAGGTTTTATAGATTTCACGCGCAGTACTAAAAAAATTGATGTGATCCCTCTTAACATACAATTTAGTGTAGATGTGATTAACTATTTTGAAATTCAGAATTCCTTAGCATATTTAGAGGTGCGAGTAACATTGATCAGAGTTACAGGGTTTGAGCTGAGCTCTAAAAGATGAGCATAACTTTCTGAGGTGGAGTTAGTAAGATAGGAGACTTCCAGACAGATATATAAGATTGATAAGAACAGGCTGTGTGGTTGAAAACTATCTGTTTCAGAAGTGGAAAACAGTGCCTTTGCTGTAGTGTGGAATTTGGGTGGGGAATGAGGAAGAGACTTGAAAATTGGATTGGGTTCATATCACAGAGAGCTTCAAGTGCCAGGAACCAGACTTAAGTCATGTCTGTGCAGACAGTATTTGTGCTGTAGCAAGATTAATCAGACAGCTACATGTAAGGAAAACAAGTGAGGATACACTGGGAGCCAGGAGAGGTAATGTAAGAGCCCAGATAAGAGGTAAGTAAGGCAACAGTATGTACCGAATTGTGCTACATAGAGCTGCTTCAGGGGTTCTTCTGAAGTTTGATGCAAATTTCATTTCTAAATTATATTTTTAACAGTGAAAAACTTGTTAAAAAAGAACTACACAATCAAATTTGAAGATGCTTAATTCCACATTTGAGCCAGCTGTTTTTGCCAAGATAACCCATTTTTGTGTAGACCATAGAGCCAAGGTTCCCTTGCTACGTTTATCTGAAGAGTTAGCTTAATATCAAAATAATATGTAAAATGTTACCATTTGCAACTGTATAGGTGCGTGAATCAGATAATGTGTGAGAGAGATCAATGTAAACTAAATGGTAGATTGATGTAAGCTTTAACTCTCATCCCTAACTCCTAATTTCTAACTTTGTATTTAAAACTGTCTCATCATCACTTATTGATATTAGAGTAAGTAAAAGTTACTATAAAAACTATTTCTTTTTTTTCCGACGGACTTTTTTGCTCTTGCTGCCCAGACTGGAGTGCAGTGGCGCAATCTTTGCTCACGGCTACCTCCTCCTCCCGGGTTCAAACAATTCTCCTGCCTCAGCTTCCCAGGTAGCTGGGATTACAGGCATGCACCACCACGCCCAGCTAATTTTGTATTTTTAGTAGAGACGGGGTTTCTCCATGTTGGTCAGGCTGATGTCGAACTCCCAACCTCAGGTGATCCGCCCACTTCAGCCTCCCAAAGTGCTGGGATTACAGGCGTGAGTCACTGCGCTCTACCAAAAACTGTATTTCTAAAAATAGCTTTGGTGTGACTTTAACTGACTTTATGTCAAATTTCTTAGGGGAAAAAAAAGGATTCTGCTGTTTTAAAAAGCTTGAAAATCACTGAGATAATAATCCTAGGGATAAAAAAGAAAATAGAAGGCTGCATTGTTTTGAGGTAAAATTGATAGAATATGGTGAATTCTTAAATATGAGTGATAAAAAGGAGTTGTTGATAATGCATGTAAAATTAAGGTTCTTAGTCTAGATTACTGAGATAATGTTAAAGGTGAGGAACTGGAGAAAAGATTGACAGGATGTTAAGTGATATTTTTAGCTTTTTTCTCCTCCTTCTCTCTCCCACCCTCCCACAAAGAAAACCCCAACCATCCTATGCCATCATTATTTAATCTCTGTAGTTAACGTTTCTTTCTTAGGTACCCAGTGACCCTCAGGTTTTTAAAATCTTCTATTTTATTACAACAGTAATGCAAGATTATTGTAAAAAATATGCAACTATTATATGAAAGCATGTAACTCAGAAAACCCATCTCTCAGTCCTATTCCCAGAGTTTAACAATTTGTTGTATTTTCTTCTAGATTCTTACTCCTGAATATGATAATAAGATATAAATGTAATAGTTACTTAATAGCAGTGTTTAGTTATTAAGATTTCAGATGTTAATAGTTACAGAATTTGAAATAGTAAAATGACAGTTGGGCACGATAGCTCACACCTATAATCCCAGCGCTTTAAGACGCCAAGGCAGGAGGATTGCTTGAGGCCAGGAGTTCAAGACTAGCCTGGGCAACATAGGGAGAGCCCATCTGTACAAAAAGTTAAAAAATTAGCCAGGCATGGTGGCACAAGCCTATAATCCTAGCTACTCATGAGGCTAAGGCGAGAGGATTACTTGAGCCCTGCAGTTTAGCCTGGATGACAGAGTAAGACCCTGTTTCTTAAAAATAAAATTAAATAAAGCCAACATTTAGCTTTAGAAAGGTAAGGCAATCTGAAATTTCACTTAGTGGTCAATTTCCAACAAACACATGCATGTGTGCATGCATGCAAACACACACAGAGCCACACACAAAGCATATTACCTGTATGTTCCCCTTTGTGTGAAGCTCAACTGGTACCTATGCTGTTTTATCAGATGATATGGAACATCCTTACAAAATCATCTTTAGGACGTTCTTATGAGGGTGAAAATACTTTCAGCATAACTGCTGATTCTGTCACAGTTGACTTATTTTTTTTGAGATGGAGTCTTGCTCTGTCACCCAGGCTGCTGGAGTGCAGCGGTGTGATCTCGGCTCACTGAAACCTCTGCCTCCCGGGTTCAAGCGATCCTCCTACCTCAGCCTCCCAAGTAGCTGGGACTACAGGTGCATACCACCAAGCTCGGCTGATGTTTGTATTTGTAATAGAGACAGGGTTTCGCCACGTTGGCTAGGCTGGTCTTAAACTCCTGAGATCAGGTGATCACCTGCCTGGGCCTCCCAATGTGCTGGGATTACAAGTGTGAGCCACTGTTCCTGGCCTCCTTCTTCTTCTTTTTTTTTTTTTTTAAAGAGACAGGATCTCACTGTCACCCAGGCTGGATTGCAGTTGCAGTTGTGTGATCTTGGCTAGCCTCCAACTCTTAGGTTCAAGCAATCTTCCCACCTCAGCCTCCTGAGTAGCTGGGGTTACAGGCATGTGCCACCACACCTGCTAATTTTCTAAATTTGTAGCTACGTTGGCCCAGGCTGATTTTGAACTCCAGGCCTCAAGTGATCCTCTAGCCTCAACCTCCCAAAGTGTTGAGATTGCAGACGTGAACAACTGTGCCTGGCCACATTTGACTCTATAGACATTTCTTTTCTCTTTGGAATATACTCACCCTTTGGCTCCGTGACACAATATAATCCTAAATTTCTTCCTCCTTAGCCAATTCTTATTTTCCTTTTAGGCTGTTCTTCTGTGTGTGACCAGTAAGTGTTGTTGGAGTTCCTCAAGCCTTTTTCATAGGTCCTTTTTTCTTCTCTCTCTGGTTCGTCTCACCCACCCTTGTGGTTTTAATGATCACCTATATAGATAGCTCACAGGTTTCTTTTACTTTTCTTTCTTTTTTTTTGAGAAGGATTCTCGCTCTGTCGCCAGGCTGGAGTGCAGTGGCTTGATCTCCGCTCACTGCAACCTCCACCTCCCGGGTTCAAGTGATTCGTGTGCCTCAGCCTCCCAAGTAGATGGGACTACCGACATCCGCCACCATTCCCAGCTACTTTTTGTATTTTTAGTAGAGACAGGGTTTCTCCATGTTGGCCAGGATGGTCTCTGGTCTCGCTCTCTTGACCTCGTGATCTGCCCGCGGCCTCCCGAAGTGCTGGGATTACAGGCATGAGCCACCGGCCCAGTTTATTTTTCTTAAGTTGCAGTGTTACTAAACTGAACCTGGGTGCACTCCAGTGCAGTAAAGCCAAACACCGACACTGACATCTGTAGCAAGAGAAATAAGGGTGTTTGTTTGCAGGGCACCAAGCAAGTAGAATAGGATAGCTATTGCTTAAAACTTGACTTCCCCAGTGGCATACAAGCAAGATTTTTGTAAGGTAGAGATATATTCTAGGAAAGCAGAAGTTACTGGCAAAATCATACATCAATATGTGGGAGTTATATGTTGGTTTAGTCCCAAAAGGCAGGATATCTTGAGGTGGGGTGGCAGAATTCAGAGATTCTTTGATTTGCGATTGGTTAAGGAACTAAGGCTTTGTCTAGAAACTTGGGATCAGCAGAAAAGAATGTTAAGGTTTGGCACGTGGGTGTCACTGTCTCCAGGCCCCTCAGGAAGAAATTTAGAGCAAAGAACGTCAGTCAGAGTTCAGTCTTCAGTTCCCCCTTATGTGATGGTAGTTAGCATTTTCCATTTGGCCGAGTCTGAGTTTCTGAAAAATAACTCAGAGACCTTTGTCAAGATGTTATCTTTATTTTCTATAGGGAGCAACACATCTTGTGGCTCTGACTTCCATGAGAGGCTATTGGTTTAAGCTGTTATTACCTCCTTGCTAATCTGGTGGCTCATTTACTTCTCAAGTCTAGCTAGGTGCCTGGAATTTCCCTTGAAGTTTGGGATATGATGAGGTTTCTCTTCAAATAACCTGATCAATCATTTATTCTTTAATTCATAGTACTCCCCTCCCTTTTTTTTCTTTTTCTCCTTTTTTCCTTTTTGCCTTTATTAGATGCCCAGGCATGCCACAGTACCAAGCATTATCAATATCAGCTCACATTCCTTTCCTTATTTGGAAACAGAACTAACTTTCAAGCTCATTACAGACATGCCTTCCCCTTTCCTCTCCGCTTTCTTTCACATGCCCACCTATCTAAAAAAATCAAACGTTTAGCCAACCGGGATTAGTTTAGATTGTACGACCCAACCCCAGCCAATAGGGAAAGGGTACAGAGGCAGGACTTGCATCAGGAATAAAGGCTCTTGTGCCCCTTTGTTCAGGTGTGCTCTCATGGCGACTGGCCAAGGAGGCACTCCTGCGCAGAAGTAAAATTGCTTTGCTAAGAATCCTTTATTTGAGTGTTCAATTTCCTTAGGCTTTTGAGCATTATTCCTAACAAAAGGACTTGAGATTTTCTTTTATTTCCTTGCTTGAGGGCACCCCAGCAGGCCCGTAAGAGAGCTCCCTGCTCTGTCTCAGCAGATGTTTTTATGAAGCTGCCTATTTGACAGTCTTCTTTCCATAGTTGTTCCCTTTTTAAGGAATGTTGATGAATAGAGTCAAACTCTGTAAAATATTTAAAGAAATTTATTCTAAGCCAAATATGAGTGACCTATGGCCTGTGACACAGCCCCAGGAGATCCTGAGTATGTGTGCCCAAGGTAGTCAGGCTACAGGTTGGTTTTATATGTATTAGAGAGGTATAAGACATCACTCAATACATGTAAGATGCATATTGATTTGGTCCGGCAGGCAGGACAACTCGAAAGGGGCTTCCAGGTCATAGATTCTCTGCTTGGCAGTTGGTTAAGAGAGTTATTATCTAAAGACCTGAAATCAATAGAAAGGAATGTCTGGGTTAAGAAGGGTTTCTAAAGACCAAGGTTTTATCATGCAGATGATGCTTGTAGATAACAGGCTTCAGAGCTCTTATCAGACACTTCATTACTTCTCTCCTGGACTGGATCAGGGAAGACCTGGAAACGGAAGGGGATTCTCTACAGCAGCAGTCCCCAACTTTTTGGCCCCGGGACCAGTTTTATGGAAGACCATTTTTCCATGGGTTAGGGGGTGGTTTCAGAATGAAACTATTCCACCTCAGATCATCAGGCATTAGTTCGATTCTCATAAGGAGTGTGCAGCTTAGATCCCTCACATGCGCAGTTCATAATAGGCTTCTTGCCCTTATGAGAATCTGATGTTGCCACTGACCTGACAGGAGGCAGAGGTCAGCCTCACTCACCTCCTGCTGTGCGGCCTGGTTCCTAACAGGCCATAAACTGCTAGTCTATGCCTGTCTGCATTCCGGGGAGTTTGGGACCCTTGCTCTACAGAATGTAGATTTTCCCCATAAGAGACAGTTTAGCAGGGCTATTTCAAAATATTTCAAAGGAATATATTTTAGAGTAAAGTATTTCTGTTTCTTTCAGGGCCTGGTATCTGTCATGTTGGTATCTTAATTGCTATAAAGAGTCTGCCTTGTCAGTCTTAAGGTACCTGTTTTAATGTTAATGCTGGTCAGTCATGTCTAAATTTCAAAGGGAGGAAGGTATAATGAAGCATGTCCAACCACCTGTTCCCATCATGGCCTGAACTAGTGTTTTGGGTTTGCTTTAGAATGCCCTTGACTGAGGGAGGGGTCTATTCAGTTGGTTGGGGGGCTTAGAATTTTATTTTTGTTTCACCCTTTTCCTTGTTAATTTTTTAGCCTATAGAGTTAAGCTCAGTTACCATTCCTCAAGGAAGCTTTACCTAAGTTTACCAGATAAACTAAATCTGAGCTGGTCTCATAACACAATGTTCCTCATATTCATAACATACTACAAGTGAAATTATATATTTATTTATGTGATTATACTCTGCAGTGAAGTACTCATACATACTACCACATGGATTACTCTTGAAAACATTATGCTAAGCGAAAAAGCCCAGACACAAAAGGCCACATATTATGTGATTTCTTTTATATATAATATCCAGAATAGGCATAATGTTAAACTTTAAACCATAGTCTCTTTCTCTTACCAGTGGCAAATCTATATGGGTCTGCAGCAATGCTAATACTAGCCTCCTTAGAAGAAAGGATTTGACTGAGGGGCATAAGGCAGAATGAGAAACCAAGGCAAGTTTTAGAGCAGGAGTGAAAGTTCATTAAAAAGCTTTAGAGCAGGAATGAAAGGAAGTAAATACACTTGGGAAAGGGCCAAGCAAGCGACTTGAGAGATCAAGTACATAGTTTGACCTTTGACTTGAGATTTTATATGTTGGCATGCTTCCAAGGGGTTATGTCCCCTTCTCCCCTGATTCTTCCCTTGAGATGGGCTGTCTGCATGTGCGGTGTGATTACTGGAGTTCTACACGTGCTCGCTTGAGGTATTCTTCCCTTACCAGTCGAGTGTTCTTATAAGGTCATATACCAGTTAAACTTTTGCCATTTTGCTTCCTAGTACACATGCTGGGGCTGACTTGCCCAACTCCTAAGATCTTAACAGGAAGCTGCTGATCACCAATTTCAGATTTTTCTATCTATTGGGTGACTCCTTTCCCTGGTGCCAGCTGCATCCAGTTATTTTAGAGAGGCAGTTTCACAGCTGCCTGTGCATCACTTGAAGGTTGTCTGACATTCCCGGTGGTGGTAGGAGCCCTGTCCTGCCCTGCTCATGTCTGACTGGCTACCTACTGTAACACTTCCTCAAACTTTTACTTAATAGTTACTGTAGTAGCATATGTGTGTACATATATATTTGCATGTATGTGCATACACATGTATACATGCCAGATTCTAGTTTACGTATTCAGAATACAAAGTTAATATGGTTATTTTCAGGAAGTTTGGGATCTAATGAGGGAAAGAAAACAAGTGTGCTCTAGCATGATAATCTAACAAAACAAGATAAATAGCTGCCTACTTTGAAGTTTCTAAAGACTTCATAAAGGTAATGAAAATTTGGCAGAGCTGTGAAGGTGACAACAGAGATTTAACCAGATACAGTGGGGGAGGTGGCAGTTGGTAGTAGTGGTATTAAAAAGAGAGGCCACAGTAGTATGTATACAGGGATGTAGATATGAAAATGAATTTGCTATGTTTAAGGAATTTTAAGTGTTGTTTAAGACTTGTTTGGAATGAATAGTGTTTTGATAAGAAAGTATATGAAAATCAGGATGACATAATCAGAGTATAGGCATTATAGCATTAGAAGCCTGGGAGTTCCTTAGAAAGATAATGTTATTCCAAAGTGAGGGTAAGGGTTTTATGGGGGCTGGATGTGTCTAGCAACAGCTGGAGTTAGGCAGAAGGATAGGAAGCACTTAGTAAAAGCTGAGGCAAGGAAGGATTCCTAGGGGGTATGGAGCTAGGATATGTACTGTGTCTGGTGACTTGGAACCTGATTGAATAGAGGTGAGGAATGGGAAGAGCTGAAGGGTTCTTTGGTGATTTCTTGCCTGGGAGCTGGTCTTTATTTTACAGCATTTGCTTTGGTTACTTTGGATTATTTTATAGAAGATAAATTTAGTTTTTATGCACTGACCATTTTGTTTACCCTCAATTTCAGGTAGATCTTTTGCGAGCAGGAGAAGTTCCTAAACCTTTTCCAACACATTATAAAGATTCGTGGGATAACAAGCATGTTAAAATGCCTTGTTCAGAACAAAATTTGTACCCAGTAGAAGATGAGGTAAGAACAAAACCGAGATTCTTTTAGTCTCTGAAAAATAGTTTGGTACTTGCTTGTTTGACCTTTGATTCTGTGATGTAAAAGAACTTAGAATAACTTCCTCATGTGTTTTTCTTTTTTTCAAAAGAATGGTGAGCGAACTGCGGGGAGCCGGTGGGAGCTCATTCAGACTGCACTTCTCAACAAATTTACACGACCCCAAAACTTGAAGGTATATTGTTTTTACCATTCTTGCCTCTTTATGGGCCCTGCCTCTCCTCTTTCAAAGACTTTTTGGTCTTAATAGATTCAGGTAGCAACATTCTTTAGATGCAAAGTGCTTGCTTCCTGGCACTAAGGAAGGCTCCTTAGAGACATTCTACTAGGAAATGAGAAGAACTGAGAGTTGCAAATGATTTGCCTGGAGCCACACAGAATAATTTGGAGAACCAAGAGTAATACCTCTGTTTCTTGATTCCCCATCCAATTTCCTTCAGTCCAAGCTTCTCTTTTATTTTTTGTTTTAAAATTATCGTGTTTCTGAAATATCTTTAAAAGTAAATCAGGAAAGAAGTATGACTTCAGCAATATTTGCCCAAAGGGAAGCTGAGTTTCCTAATGATTAAAGTATATGTTAAGCATTCTGGTTTTTATTGCTCTTAATGTAGCTGCTAGTAGTTTAATAATTTATTAATCTTATATTTTGGCAATAATTTATTTTTGTTATATTTATATTTCATTTAAGACTGCAAGGGTAACCATTAGATTGTTTTTCTAATATCTAAAATATGCGTGTGTGTGGGTATATATGTATATATATATTTATATTGGGGGGCACTATAGCCATGAAAATTTTAATGTTTTTATAAATATAGACAGTGATAGAATTTTTTATACGTCCATGAAAATGGGTTTTATTTTCTTTCAGAGACTTAATTTGTTGTGTATAGTTTCTCAGATTTCTTAATATTTTCTACTGAGACTTGTGTAGCAGGGTGAGCCACAGACAGAACCTCTCAGACACCGAGTTGTAGAAGGAAGGGCTTTATCCAGCTGGGAGCATCGGCAAGCTACTGCCTTAAAATCCAAGCTCTCTGAGTGCACAATTTATGTCCCTTTTAAGGGCTTACAACACTACAGATTTCACATGAAAGGGTCGTGATTGATTTGAGCAAGCAGCGGGTATGTGATGGGGCTGCGTGCACTGGTGGTCAGAGAGAAACAGAACAGGGCAGGGAGTTTCATAGTATTCTTCTGTACGATATCAGGAACATCGGTTTCTAAGTCATGAGTTGTTTTTTAACTACTGGGTTTAGGCCAGGCAGACCCAGGCCTGGTGCCGGGCTGCCTGTCTTTGGTTTTACTTCATTGTTTTTTCTTAAAACAGGTGCTGAATATAAAACAACAAAACAATATGAGAGGGTCTGTCTCTTTCCTCATTTCCCCCCTTTGGAGACTCACACTTTTTATTAGTGGGAGTTCTTAATCTTATTTTTGCTACTCATGTCTTTTTGTGCAGTAGATTGATAGTGATTCGTATAGTACACTTGTGCTGAAGCATTTTGTTGAACTAAGGTACCAATGAAGCTTTTTTATCATTTGAAGAAGTACAGGTAGCAAACAAAGGAGCAGTAGGCAGGTTTTTATTACTATTATAACTTTTATTATGAGTTTTAAATTCTCTTAGTGCTGGGAACTAATTTTTAAGCATGGCTCTCAGATTAAGTCAGTGTCACACTTGCACAGGTACATGTGCCAGTTTTGTCATATGTTAAACTATGTCTTTAACTACTTGCCTTTGGTTATCTATGTGTAGACAGTAATTAGTAAGGTTACATTTCTTATAGACCCGTTTTTAGTTGCTAGCAAGTAGTCAGGAGCCAATCTATTTTGATAGATAGCATTTTTTATCTGAGTGTTTTGTTTATTTGTTTGTTTGTTTTTTGCCAGGCCATAATAGTCAAGCCTTGACCAGTTTTATTAGTAGTAATTTCTAAAACAGCTTGTAACCATATAATTCAGTTGAGCATGTAAATGGGGGTCCGATATCCCCATGAGCCATCTTGTGCCCAAGCGGCGGGTCCATAGTATTGTATGATTTTTTCAGGGGCCATTCATCATCTTTTTAATTATTTATGGCTATGCTTCGTTTTTCACAGGAAGCATAGACTGGGAAGCCCAGAAGTTCACCTGTTTTGTGGGCAGTAAGAAGAAAGGTGGTTTAATAGTGCCAATAACATAACCACCTGTCCACTGGTCAGGCAGCTTAGCGTAGGCTCTATGTCTGCCTATCCAGTATAACCTGGTGGGGGCAGTCTAGTCCTGGTGGAATTCTGGGTGGGCCCAGACAGTCTGCAACCTTGGAAATTTACTGAATGGATTTCTTTTTGCATAATTGGAACTCCACCATGTAACTGTTTTTGCGGTACTATTATACAGCTTTTGCCCAAGACAACTAAGCCGCCCTACAGGATGAGTGAATTCTTTTTCTTCTCTAGCTATGCAATACTGTCTAATAATTGAGACTTTTAGAACCCAAAAATTGTCAGGGTGGTTCTTTTGGGCCGGGAATTCATCAGGAGCTGGGTCCGTAGGAACTAATTCTCGGGCGTCCCGTGGTCATTGATCTCCTGTTAGGCTTCCTCCACAAACATAACATGAAGTGACTTTTAGAGACTGGGCTACATGTTCGGCTAATTGCAAAAACAAATTCTTAGTTTTTCCTGGAATCTCAGGTACTGGCACATTGTATTCATCATAGAAAGTCTGAAATACCGGTTCTGGAGAGTATCATTGAACCTCTCCTTTTATTAGGATGCTTACGCTAGGATCTAGTCCTTTTTCATTAATGTCTAATGTTACTTTTTTTTTTTTTTTTCATTTTGGGTCTGAGGGGTTTGTGATTACCAATTCCAAAGGGTTGTAGCTCCCACTCATGCAGGAGGGGCTGACTTTTCCTTTTTGGAGCCAAACAGGATCTTTTTAATTTTTTTTCCAAGTAGCCCAAATGACACAAGGCCAGTATTGACACATATTACATAAATACAATTCTTGACAGATATACTTATTTTCTGCTGTGTAACTTTTCTTTCCCAATCTAGAGAACCGCATCCCATCCCATTCTGCTTATTATTCATAGCGGCACAGGTGTCAATTTTTTTTTTTTTTTTTTTTTTTTTTTTTTTTTTTTTTTTGAGACGGAGTCTCGCTCTGTCACCAGGCTGGAGTGCAGTGGTGCCTGTCCCCCAGGCTGGAGTGCAGTGGTGCGATCTCGGCTCACTGCAAACTTCGCCTCCTGGGTTCACGCCATTCTCCTGCCTCAGCATCCCGAGTAGCTGGGACTACAGGCGCCCGCCACCGCGCCCAGCTAATTTTTTGTATTTTTGGTAGATACGGGGTTTCACCGTGGTCTCGATCTCCTGACCTTGTGATCTGCCTTCCTCGGCCTCCCAAAGTGCTGGGATTACAGGTGTGAGCCACCGCACCAGGCCAGGCCTCAAATTTTAAGGTTACATTTTTGGGGACCCCCCCCTTTCTTTTTAAGCTATTACTTTACCTGTGTCACTTAGAAAAGGACCACTCCTTAATTTTATTTTGAAAACTGTGGTTATGAGAGGTTCAGAGGGGTCATAGCACACATCGGGCTGGTCACTTCCTGGATTACATACTTTGTACTGGGTGTCATTATATAAACAAGTTTCTTTTAGAGTCCTTGTACACTTATAATAACCATAAAATAATAGGACTGGCTGGGCGCGGTGGCTCAAGCCTGTAATCCCAGCACTTTGGGAGGCCGAGATGGGCGGATCACGAGGTCAGGAGATCGAGACCATCCTGGCTAACACGGTGAAACCCCGTCTCTCCTAAAAATATACAAAAAACTAGCCGGGCGAGGTGGCAGGCGCCTGTAGTCCCAGCTACTCAGGAGGCTGAAGCAGGAGAATGGCGTAAACCCAGGAGGCGGAGCTTGCAGCGAGCTGAGATCTGGCCACGGCACTCCAGCCTGGGCGATAGAGCGAGACTCTGTCTCAAAAAAATAAAACAATAAAATAATAGGACTGTAGCAGTCTTGTGTCCTACCTCAGTAACTTGATGTCTGTATACTGGGGAACAGCCCACAGTCTGAGGAAGGTCAGTTGAAGTCCTTACTGTACAAGTCCAAATTTTAAGGAAAATGAGTCCCACGATGAGTTTCCTTGTGTTTCGGCCGTGCGTGGACCAGTCAGCTTCCGGGTGTGACTGGAGCAGGGCTTATCATCTTTTTCAGAGTCACTTTGCAGGGCTTGGCGAAGCTGCTCCCATCCATGTACAGCTCCCAGTCTACTGGATGTTTAAAGATGGTCTCGGAGGTTGGGCCCACTAGGATAAACTGAGTCCAATACTTTTACACAATTATGTTTAACTGGGCTCTCTGATACCAGGAGCAAAGTGGCGGGGTTTAGGGTGTTGCAAACTTCGATGATTATGCGGGGATTTTCACAGAGCAAGCTTTGGTATGTAACTATTATTTAACTTATCTAACTAGATATTTAACTATCTAGTTAGTCTGGCATTTATTAGCTAATGGTGTCCTTTGGTATTTATTTAAATTACCACAGCATGGGGGGACTTTAGGTTTTGCCTAAGAGTTAGCTTATCTGCTTCTTGTGCTGACAGGGCCATTGCTGCCAGGGCTCTTGGACATGGGGGCCAGCCTTCGGAAACCCCATCTAGTTGTTTTGAGAGATAGGTCACTGGCCTTGGCCAGGGCCCTACAGTCTGGGTTAAAACTCCAACTGCCATTTCCCCCGCCACACACACACATAGAGTGTAGAGAGTTTTGTCAGGTCAGGTAGCCTCAGGGCTGCGGCCTACATTAGTTTTTCTTTTTAACTCATGAAAAACTCATTGTTGGTTGTAATAGATGTAGTTTATCTAATCTACATTTTTATTGACTGTCATTTACCAAAATATTGACTTAAATCCTGTAACTATTTGATTTCAAGCTTTAAATTGATCTGGTATTTCTTGCGGGGCTCCAATTGCATTTAAATAGATACGAGAGTTGTAAGATCTATTAGGGGCTTCTCTCAACTTTACAATGTATCATTATTATTATTTTTTCTCTTGTTGATGAAACGCCAGGGTGAAAGGGATAGCCAAATGAACTAAAGCACAAATGTCACTCTAATTATTTGGCAGAGTGCCCAGTAAAGGTCCACCACAGTATCACCACACATCCGCTCAGGGATG